GTTGCCATTCAGCCGATCGCTCTCCAGCTTTAGAAGTTTAATTAGGGACAAGTAATCAACGAGTAATACTTTTAGTTGTATGTTTTCAAACACAGAGGCAGAGTTTGTGGAAAGTCATGGATGATTTGACATGGGAGTCACTTTGATTAGACTGTAAATTGTGGCCGTGTACCAAAATGTCAGCCCGGGAATTCTATACGGCTGTGTTTGCTTGAATAAGTTTGAACTGGATCAATCACAGAACACGGACGGCAAGACGATAATGACATACTATTGGACAGACAGAAGCTACTGTATCTACTGTATTTGCTGGATCTGTAAACAAACCACTACAGATCCAGCAGATACAGTAGCAACAGACGCAAATACAAAATTGTTCATGTTTAAATCCTACAAACGGCAATAATTGTTTAGCGCCATTGCGTAAAACATTAATTGTCTTCTTTGCTTCTTCAGTTCTCTGCAAATTTCTGTCGCACAACATTCTTTTTCAGGTAGAATTGATTTGATTAGTAAATACGCTCAGACGAATACTATAGATATTCATTCATAACGCCCAGCTATGGACAATTCTAAACCGCACCTGTCCTATGAAAAAAAATGAACAAACGGTACCTGGAAGACATATGATTTGAGGTATGCAGTTTGTTCTGAGCCTGGCTACCAAAACCTTTATTAGCCATGTAACTCCCTATGCTGCCACCAGAGGGAGGTGTTGAATTTTTAGTTTTATCTGAAATTAGAGATTCACTGACTACAAACCGACATGTAACTCTAAAGAAGGTCATTTCAACAGATTTTTAAAACAAATTTAGAAGCAGTTCTTTTGTTTTAAAAGACTGAGGCAGGAGCTTAGAGACAGAAGGGTTAGGGCTTCTTCCTCCTATGTTTTGGGAAAGATACCAGTCGCCTCCATCCATGAACTTCTGGCTTATGGTGCATTACTTTAGTGGACACCAGATCATGATATATCCACTAATGAAGGAAATCATACCCTTGAGGTCATCCTAATCATATTCAGGAAAGTGCAGATGGATTTATCAGCTCATGTTAACACGCCGCACACAGAGCCCTCCCCCCGCAGCTATCAGCAGGGAAGCTCCCACGCTGAGCTGCATATCAACCATGTGCATCTAGGGGATAGCCATGCTTCCAGAAAGAGACAAACAAAATGTAAGACCACACACGCAGGAGCAGGAGGTTTGAGAGCCCAAAAAACTGCTCTTTAAAGGCTGTTTCCCCTCATAATGCCTCAGTCACTCCAATCCATCAATCACTCACATCGGGAGCGTGACAGAGAGACTATTGAGACAATCAAAGGCCTGCTCCAGACATCCATATTCTTACATCCATATTCTGGCATGGATCACACATTTACGGCTATTGTCTTATTGTAGCATTATTGTCGCAACACATCTCCGAAAAATGTGCATGTTTTGAAATTGAACTGTAAGCCATAATCATCAAAATTATAAAAACAAAGGCTTGGCATATGTATTTTTGCATGTGATGAGTCTATAGCATGTATTAGTTTCCCATTTTAAGTTGATTTGCAGAAATAAATAAACTTTGAATGATATTCTAGTGTTCTGATTATTTACATTATAGCATAAATCATATGATGCATAAACTGTATCAATCACACACAGGCTTAAAGGAGCTGTACCCGTTTCTCCAAGGTTTGAACGTTTAGCACTGCCCCCCAACTCGCTCAGAGGCTTCTCATTTCCCCTACGCTCTCATTCCACGGGGCCATCTAGTTTTATTTACGATCTATATGCAAACATTAGGAGGGGCTGGTGCTATACTGGGTGCAGCTCTGACTGTCAACCCCCCGACCCAGAAGTGGATTAAGGGGAAGAAAATGGAAAATCCATCCATCCATCCATTATGGATGGATGCAAACATCAGCATGAGTACTACTTCATGTAAGCTGTACAACAATCACTGATGAAATGGTACAAAACCAACGATCTTCTAACAAAATATATAACTGAAAGATTACCGCTAGTTCCGCGTCCGAATGTAGTCCGAGCATAGATAGTCTGAGGCGTTCCCGCTCCCACTGGTCTCTCCCATAGACTGTAAGTCTCTCCAGAAGATACAATGTAAGCTAGCTATGTTCACCCGGGCTTGATAATTCGTTTGATCATTTTTTTCCTTTGTTCCCTCTTCCTCACTGTTGTGTCGTTTGGGCTGTTTTGCTGTGTATGAAGTTATAGCCAAGGAGTTATAGCCAATTCCGCTAACATGCTAATGTGTTTAGCAGCGCTGTAGAGGCTAGAGAACGCAGCCTCGTTCTGCGAGTGGAGGAGAGCGGGCGTCTTTGCCAAGTCTCTACTCAGCACTTATTACGGCCTGAATTCATACACAGCTGAATCAATGAGCTCAAGTTTTCAATTAAATTACAGATTATAATACAACTTGTATGTAGTAATAAGCATTTTTATGAACTCATGAAATAAAATAAAAATGAGTATAGAAGCTTTACAGGGTTTGTTTAAAGTATCAAAAATTAATTATTAAATCAATATTAAAACGAGTATGGAAAGGTGTACCTGTAGATGTTGAAATCAGAATCGGAATTGTTTAATTGCCATTTTAAGAAAAGTTTTAAACTAGAACTTCGGCTCATGGTGCAAGTTCAAAAGGTGAAAAATATATTATTCTTAAAGCATCCGAATAAATGAAAAATCTGAATAAATGTCTGCTGTATACGTACACACAATAGACATTTAACAGTGCAGGTTAAAGTGACGTATAGTATATTGTGATCAGAAAGGACAGTTTTCAAAGTTATAAAATTACATAAACAGAAAAAAGGTGACGCTTTTACAGCCATAAAACACATAGCTGCCATTTTGCGGATTTTGTTAATCGGGGGTTATTATTTAGAACACAACCCCTGCAATAAACAAGGGACCACTGTACACAATAGTTGATCAACAAAATGTATACAATATTTAAAAAAGGAATTACAATTTAAGTTGCTACATCACCTTTAATGTACTGTATAAACATACCCAATGATAAATAACCAAAAGCATTACATTTTGAAGTAAATGAAACGGCCACAATGACTGGGATATTGTCAATACCGCTATGTTTCCATGAAATCAGGCCGACCTCATTCAGGAGAAACCCACAGGAGGCCATTTCAATTCCCCTCAAGATGCCATCAATGACAATAACTATAGTCCCTCCAACTACAGTAAATACAACACTATAGGTGACCAACCAATCAGCGTGATGGTGTCTTTGAGAAACACAATAAAATCTCTGCTTTGACAAACGCACTTTCATCTCCGCTGATAAGCTGATGAGAAAGTCTTTACAACTTCAAAAGGCCTCCTCTCGTCTGCAGCGTCTCTGGGATGCTCAGTGTAGCCCCAGCCGTGGAATATCTCTCAAGCACATTCATTTTTAATCACAAAGTTGAATTAAATATGCACAAACACAGCAGCTGCCTTCTTTGTCGTGTAAATACAAGGTTTGACGAGTAGCAGGCAAATGTGAAATACATTTCGCGGAGAGGTATTTGCACCTTATCAAATATTTACAGAACGCAAGCAATGCAAAATGTGCTTTGCATCGCTGAGCTTGAGCCCCTCCCAAGTGAATTATATAGATCAAGATTCTAAAACAGATATTAGCATGGAATAGTACTGGTCACACACACGCACCACACATACACACACACACACGCACACACACACACACACACACACAGGTCTAGGTAAGGATGAGTCAGTCCGTGGAGGTGGTATTTCAAACCACACTTATTTGCACAGGATCATACAATGTAGTCAATTTGAGTGTACTGTAAAACATGTTGAATATTTTTTATTTATCTTAACAGACAAAGATGATAAAAAAATGTCTATTCAAGTCTAAATGTGATTACTTGTAAGGTCAAAGTGAACAGCATTCTATTACATTGTGTTTTTATCTACATTGTGGTTCTTTAAATTCAGTTTGATATTTTGGTCAGATTTGTTTATGAATGATAAAACATTTGAAATAATAAGAATAATACTGAATTTAAACATCTGGTCAAAATTATGTGTAAACTGGCAAATATGTGTGTGTATGTTGTGTGAAAAATAAATTTAACATAAAACATTAAATTCAATTCAGTGTTTTTTTTGTATACGTCTAAATCACCACAGCAGTCGTCTCAGAGGACTTTACAAAGTTGTAGATTCATCAAAAGGTTCAAAAACAGGAACTGTAACACACACATAGAAGCCATTGATCGAGAAGATGACAATTATCTATAAATGTTATCACATCCTAATTCATGACCTTTAATGTCACTGTCCTTAGATCCTCCTGCATCGGCAAGGAACAAAAACAGTGGGAAAAATGTGAGAGATCTTTGAGAGTCCCATATTGAGTGAGGTCCCCACTCATTTGTCCATGTGACCCTATTGTATCATGTAATTTAAGAATGTTTTATTAACATTATTATCAAATTTAGTCCCTCGTCTTGGCAAACACACCACCAGTAACATCTGCTGGAGGAGAATCGCAGAACCTCAAGTTGAAGTGACGAAAAACTGTGGTCACTTTCTCAGCTTGGGCCTCAACTTCTGATTGACATGCAGATGTGCAATGATAAACATCCAAAATGACAGATATAATTAAGGTGATTTAATGAGTAATTGTTCCTCAGGTTCCACAAGAGTCCGCCTGAAAATCCAGGTTTAAACAGGATGAATCACCAAAAAACAAATAAGTAAGACATAAAAAAATCTGAATGCAGAAGCTATAGCAATATAAAAAGGATCAATTAAACTTATAATTAGCCCAAATAATAGGACAATAGTATAACCTAAAGTTCTGATACAACTACGTAACTCCATACTGGCTGAATACTCGCTCAAATTGTCAACATTAAAATTTACAAATAAACCACTGCTTTGCTATAATGAGGCAGCATATTCCACACTTCTAACACACTCCCCTTGTTTTCACTCGCTCATGACATTTGCTGTATTTCATGCTTGAAACAGAAAGTCTTCTCGCAACAGCCGGGGCAGGGAGTCGATAATCTCGCCGGAGTGTTGGCGGAGTTGACGCTTTGACAGAGACTTGTGTGGCCGGGGCATATGGCCGGGTTCAGCGCCGCATCTGTCTGTGGTTCTCAGCGGGGAGCGGTCTCTACTGCTCACTCCCCGACCGCGAGTCTGTGTGGGCCCCGACCACCGCAGAGTCTGCACAGAAGAAGCTGCGAAAAAAGGAGCGCCGGAGCTATTCATTTTCTGCTTCTGCGAGCGAGAGAATCGGAGAGAGAGGGAGTCGCACAGGCAATCTAAATGTTAACTAGGTCTGATGAACACTGTCTGAAAATTAAATAGTGCAAGTAATTGAATAGAATGGGATTAATAAATTGGCAGCTTCAAGTCTTGGGAATTGTCCACACGTTGGTTCTAAAAAAACAGTTAAGGTAAAAAATGTGTTGTGGAATAAATATTTCTCATTCGTTTCAGATTGTGTAATGGTTTCCAATTTCTGGAGTGTGGCTGTGAATGAAAATATCGGGAGGTAAACAGCTGTGCCCACCTTTTTTCTTCGTACATTTATTCTTTTCATTGTATCTAGCCCGAGCCCCCAGGTTAGAGTTTGAACGTGTGTGTCTTTTTGCTTTCAAAAATCCAACCCAAAGCCTACCTTTGAGAGTAAGAGAAAGGAACATGTCAGGGCTTAATTTCAGGTGATAAACATGAGTGCATAGACAGTGTCCTATGGTCGCTTGTCAAAATATTTTCCTCTATTCTACCTGAGTTCTTCTGGGACTGGATTAATGGAAAATTGCAGAATCGAGGATTATAATGGTACAGTTACAAACCTGTAGCTGCTGTGCACTTCTAACTTAAAGAACAAGTGTATACTACCCATACATAGGTCACAGAGGTGGATTAACTATGGCTATTAAGATGTTTTTCTAGCCTGCTCCCAATTCCTAGTTTCTAAAAATACACATGAAGGGCCATATTACAAGCTATCCAAGCTGCTGCGCAGGGCTCAGTGGCCTCGGTCGGGCCACACCTCTGTTAAATCAGTCTGTCAGTCAGGGGTAACAGCCTCATCTCACTTTCCTCTCCTCTGCACCTGCCACTGATCCGCAGAGAGCACTACATTTTCACTGTGCCTCTTCATCACACTTCTTACTCTATGGAAACTGCATTGGGAAAAGAAAAAAACAGCAGGCTGACACCCCATGTGGCCCACAGGAGAATGACGTGACCATGTTGGCATACAGTTAGCTAACATAGAGTTTGCATGAGATCAGGATTCAAGATTCAGTTTGCCATTTTCAGTAAAAACATATTAGAATAATTGTGCAAGACTAGTGTGCACCAGATCATTGCCATTTTTCCAGTATTTTGGTATTCAATCTTCATTTATGTTTTGGGTAATTTAGGTAAAATATTTAGGTAAATGTCGGAGGAGTAGAGCTGTGAGGTAATCTTATTTATATAGCGCCTTTCACAGACCAGAGTCACAAATTTCTTTACTAACTTTGTGGGCATTTGTCTCTCACTCCTCACAGAGATGGGAGCGGTCGCTATACCAGAGGCGCAGACCTATTGTACATGTTTTTAGTGGTAGGGGAGCGACCGGAGGAAACCTACGCAGACACGGGGAGAACATGCAACTCCAGAAGCAAGAGTTGTAGAATCTCAGACCAGCACAAACTTTTTTGGCGTTGACCTCAATCACAAGCAAATGTACAGTATATTAGTCAAACAAGGCTCACATATTTACACATAGGCGACGTTTAACACACAGGAACAAGCTAAAGGAGAATAATGAAAACCCAAACAGAACAAAACAACAAGGTTTTAAAGGCAAGATAAGCAGCTCTGAAGTGTAATGCATGCCCTGTGTCAGATGCTGCGTCAGTATCCGCAGTGTGCAGAGCCATGACCTTTAGCCAGTGTGTAATCCAAGTGCAGCATAATAATACATGAAAATCTATAGCAGCTCACGAGTGCACTGCTGCTGCTGATCTCCTCACACAGGCTCAGAGCAGAGGACCAGCAGAACGGCCTCTCCCACGGGGGACACGGACACACACGCTGGCTCTTTCACATTTAGTCCCGACAGCTCAGGCTTGGCATATCAAGGAGAACACATATTTTTTAGGCTTTTTCTGATCAGACAACATATATTTGGACAGATTTTAATGTTGACATATCATTTATAGATAGATCATGTTCTTGCCCTGTTGGGTAGTGCACAAATAAATGTGGTGAATTGAAAACAGTGATTATTGTCATGTTTTGTTTATAATTAAGGAAGGGGCTGGGTGAATTCAGAATATTCAATAATGTAATGATGCCCAACAAGAGAAAAAAATAAAATATGTTTTTGTCCCAACACAAAGTGACTTGTTTAAGTAACATGTTGTAAACAAATCGGACCACAACCACCTTTTCGAACATGATGATGATGATGATGAAGAGAGATGACGGACTGAAAAACTGACAAATATACATGATGCATGTGAAAACTAGCAATAGAACCAAACTTCTGAGATCAAGGAATTAGTCACATGGATTTTACATAGTTCAGTTTTGCGGTTTCAAAGAACTCCAGCTTTGATTAACACTAGGACTCCCAGAGTGGTCAATTAGTAGATACAGTACACCTTTTTGATCTTCTGAACTTTGTGACTACAATTAGTTTAGTTCTATGTAATATAAAGTTTAGTTCTATTAGTTCTATGAGAACTTCCCTAACCTTACCTTACCTAACTCACTTTTCCAGTTTCAGAATTATTTAAGTTAAGAAACAAGCTTTTTTTCTTGATTTAATATATATACATAAGAATAATAGCAAAGTATATGCAAGACTAGAACATAGACGATGAATAAGATTATTGGAATGCCTTTCATTCCCCCTCCTCTAAATAAATGAGCTAAAAAAAAATATTTTAATGTTTGGTGTTACGACCCAGCTCTGCTAGGGTAAAGTAGGTTACAAAAAAGATGTTAAATGGAAAAGCAAGTATTTAATAACAGGGATGTAAATGATAAGTAGACAAAAAGCAAAATGACCCATGACAGGACATAAGGGGATAACTCAACGCTACCAAAATAAAACAAACACTAAACACTAATCCACATAGAACAAAACACTAAACTGACTGTTGTCTCAAATAAAGCAAAGTGACACAAAAACAAAACCTCGAAGTGACAACAGAAAAGAGACAAACCAAATAAAAGCTATAAAGACCATAAGGACTGTCTTTAAGTCATTGTCACCCCTTGTGACCCCCAGTGGTTGTCCAATGACAGGCCAGGGATCTTGAGACAGGAGGGGTTGCCACACACACACGGCCACACACAAAAACACAATCTACAGGCCCAGGGTCGTAACGTTTGGAATGTTTGTAATCAATGTTTGGTTAAAGTTCATGCTGTAAAAGTATTGGCTAATTCATTTCTTCGAATATCAAAGGCACGCAACTTACTGCACACTGGGGGTTTATTTAGGTCAATGATTACCATTCTTTAGAAAAGCAACTATGCAGCTGTCCGAGTAATCCTGTGGATAAATAAGGATTACATAGAGATTACTCCAACACTTCTCGACAGTGATATGCCTATACAGCTCTGATATGCAAAAACAGAAGACAATATGTACACAAATGATAAAGGTCAAATAAAAAGCTTAACCAGATCTCTCTCTCTCTCTCTCTCTCTCTCTCTCTCTCTCTCTCTCTCTCTCTCTCTCTCTCTCTCTCTCTCTCTCTCTCTCTCTCTCTCTCTCTCTCTCTCTCTCTCTCTCTCTCTCTCTCTCTCTCTCTCTCTCTCTCTCTCTCTCTCTCTCTCTCTCTCTCTCTCTCTCTCTTCTCTCTCTCTCTCTCTCTCTCTCTCTCTCTCTCTCTCTCTGTTTGTATTTTATTTTTTTTTCCTGCCTGAAAAGGTTATGTTTTGGCTTTGGCCGGGCAGTATATTTTCTCAACAAATCAAATCTAAAGAATTATAATAAGATGAAAAGGATAAGAACAAAATATTGAAAACCAACCAACCATACTCAAAGATCTTTTCAGAAAAAAATAGATAAATACTAGTTTACAGCCCTGAAACTACTCATTTGAAACTGTTCTCATTTGAAACTGTTTTCCCCAATGCATTAACCGTTCAAATACCTCTGTGTCCCCAATGTACAGTATATCGGCATTAGCAGTCACTTCTAACCAAATCTATAGCATGCACAGATTTCCCCCAGGGCTCTTGGAGGCTTTGATAAAGGAGAACCTTCACACAGGTCTATCCTTGACTGGAATCGATCTTCGGACATGTCCTTTCAATTAGCGTGTCTTATCCGCATGCACTCTGGCCCCATCCTTCTCCCCTCCCCTGGTCTCCTCTGGTCTCCTCTGGTCTCCCATGGTCTCAGATGTGAGTGTGTCGCTTGTGAGCAGACCTTGATCTCTGCTAAATGCCCGGGGCTGAGCTTGGCGGGTGCTCGGTCTCTCTGCTTCTGCTCTAGATGTTTGCAGAGGCTTGTGGCACCGTGCATCATGGCAGAGTGAACCCTGCCCCCATGCAGTGATGCCGGGGGGAAAGCGTAAAGAGTAGTGCTGGTTCGAGTTGTGGAGCATACTGTGTGTGTGCAGTTCAAAAGCATAGTTTGATTTTTCGAACACAGCTTGATATTGAGATTGCGTGAATGTCGAGATGAGAAATTTTTTGGGGGAAGTACGTCAGTGTGATTTGAGACGTTTTTAAACTAAAAAGGGTGGTTCCTGATGGTGGTTCCTTGATAAAATATCATACAACTTTTTCACATTTTGTCATGTTAACTTTTTTTTAAAATTGCTTACTGAAATACGTCAAAAAAGTAACAAAAATCTATAACTAAAGAAGAACACAAAAAAGCAGGTCCATAGCATGATGCTCCCCCCACCGCATGTGACATAAAGGGCATTGGGAAATGTCATGCCCTTCTATCATTTTGCTTTCACAGTTGCTTGTTGTTTTTTTATGTTTTACCAAAAGATACTTCAAAATAAATCTTTATGTCTATAGTGAACGTGTTTGTCTCCATCGTAGCTTTAAATCAGCTTTTCCAGACAAAAAAGTGAAGCAGAGAAAACCACCCTTCTCTCTCAGCCCAAACGCCATATACCTGTAGAGACTCACAGGGCTTGAAAATATGAATTTTATCAAATGAAGACAGCACCGTGTGGCCTTGCTTTTGCTTGTATAAGGTTCTTCCTGTGTAGCTAAACAATATATATAAA